AAGGGTCATTATCCCGGAATAGATGTCCGAACCAAGGCTGAAATTGGGGTAACTAACCGTGGTCATTATTTCTTATAATTTCTTGTACATGTTTATTACTTGTTCTTAATTGAATTTAATTTTTAAAAAAAAATTAGGAGGGTTAAAAAAAAAAGGAAAAGCTAAACAGAGGCCAGAGATGACTCTTTATTGCTTGATCTTTTTTAAGTTCAGGGCACAGCCAGCTTATTTTCTAATGTTTATTTTGGGAAGAAATACAAGCGCGTTAGGGTTCCAAGCCACTTTCGGAATGATCAAACCAGGATACATCGCCGCCTGCTGGTAGCATAACAGTTCTGTCCTGAAGACAATTATTTTCCACATACTATAACTGGAAAGAGTTCCATCCATCAATATACAATAACCAAAATGCAAACTTTATCTCCAAACTTATATATTTTGTACACGTACTAAATATGTATCTTTTTTTGCCCTGTCCTAATAATTTTATAGTAGCCCCAATGACTCATCAAATCATGCATTTTAAAAATGAGTTCCTTTCTTTCCTTCAAGAATGCCTCACTACTTGTGCTTCAGGAATAAAACAAACTGGGAAAGTTTCCTGATTCACCCCCTTTTCCTTGCATACAAAACCTCTTTGCAGACTGCTTTCAAGATCTTTCCAAAGCTAAACAGACCCACAGTTCTAGCTGTGAGCAAAGAAGGCTCTTGCTGTGGGAAAGTTTCAGAAGACAGTTAGCAAAGGACTTAATTAAGCCAGTCATTCATCCCAGAACTGCTCTTTTTAACGGTGGATCTCTATATGCACCCACAGAGCCCGAATGGTGACAGTGTCCCTGGGAGCTTCTTTACAGGTGTTGGTAGCTCTGGACCAGTGGGTCCTAACATGGGGCACACGCCCCACGGGGGCAATTTGATTTTTAAGGGGGGCAATTCGAAAATAAGTTATTAACAGTGAATTTTTTGCGTTTCTTATGGTTCTAGGGGCCTCATATACAGTATACAGTCAGTCCTCAGGTTACGTCAGACTCGACGTACATCGTTTTGTGGTTACATCGCCATCTCTCATCTATACTAATAAAAGGGTAATGTGCTAATTAGACTGGGTCGACTGGACATCTTCCAGTCATCCTTCTGGACAAAGCCATGGTAGCAGGGGCCGAGGCAGAGGCAGTTAGGGGCAATCAGGCTGGCAGGGGAGAGCAATTAGGGGTGATCAGGTCAGCAGGGGAAAGCAGAGGCGATCAGGCAGGCAGGCAGGTGAGCGGTTAGGAGCCAGTGGTCCCGGATTGCAAGAGGGATGTCCGACTGCCAGTTTAGACCCGATTCTGCAGGAGCAGTTGGACATCCCCTGAGGGGTCCTGGATTGGAGAGGGTGCAGGCCAGGCTGAAGGACCCCCTCCCCCATGCACGATTTCATGCACCAGGCCTCTAGTTTATTTATAATAAACAAACAAAAAAAATCATTTCGACGTATGTACATATGTGCTTTATGTTTTTTATTATTTACCACAAGTAAAGGTCAGGAATTGTTATCTTTCTTTTAAATTTTTTTTTCTGTTTCACTTCATTACTGCTGTGTCTGTGCTCCATGTGAGTGATGTAGGTGCTTTGTAGGTGGGTTCCAACTTACGGCGAAAATCGCGTTACGTCGCGCCATAACGGATCTCCAACGTAACCCAAGGACCTACTGTATAAGTATATATTGTGACTTATTTGTGCATTTCAGTTCTCTATTAAATGTTTTGAAAATTTGCTATTTTTTCATATCACTTCATATTACTATTTTTTAACAATTTCTTAGTGATTTCTTCCTCAGTACTTCACCCGTCCTTTCATTCTTTTATTTTTCTCTTTCATGGATGCCATGCTTTTGGAAGCTTGCTTAGACCAAATTAATTTTTAGGCTTTCTCCCCGTGAATAGCAGTTCACTTTTTTAATAATGAAAATTATATGTCACAGGGGGGCATCAGTATTTTAGAAATGCTTAGGTGGGGCATGGCCAAAAGAAGGTTGGGAACCACCACTCTAGACTGTTCTGAATGTTCCATCTATAGCAGTGGTTCTCAACCTTCCTAATGCCGCGACCCTTTAATACAGTTCCTCATGTTGTGGTGACCCCCAACCATAAAATTATTTTCGTTGCTACTTCATAACTGTAATTTTGCTACTGTAACCAATATGTAATTATATATGTGTTTTCCAATGGTCCCCTGTGAAAGGGTCGTTCGACCTCCAAAGGGGTCTCGACCCACAGGTTGAGAACCGCTGATGTATAGAATCCCTTCAGAAAGTCCCATCACACTCCCGTGTCACTAATTCCTTACCTAGAAAGATGACCATGGTGACCCAGTTCCCGGCACATGGTCTCCGAGGTTGTACAATGGTGCTTATTCTAAACCACATTCTCATCTCCTCATCCATTCTCTCAACATGCTCACTGAGCACCCACCACTTAGCACTGTTGTGGGCACTGGGAGTCCAGTTCTGAAGACAGTGTGGCAAGGCAACTACTCAAATGGGGCAAAATAACAAAGAAATTACATTCTTCCTCCCTCTTTTCCAAACTGTTTTCTGTATATAGATTGCTGCCCCCAGAAGTAAAGAATATCAGGAATGGGTGATGAGAGGCAGCAGGTGGGAGGTATTTCATGAAACGTATAAACATGGGTCAGCGTTTCTACAGGCCAAGAGACTTTTTTTCAAACCTCTTGGCAAAACCACAACAAAAATATAAAGCAAACTCTGGATGGATAAAAAGTTGTTTATTTTTATAAAACAAGTACAAATCATCTTGAAATATAAATCCTCTTGAGCAGTGTTAATTATCACACAGTAATCCAAATGCGAATGAGCACTTCATTACATCTGACCATGCCGCATGTTAATCAGCCCTTCATGTCCTCAGCATCTTAACTAGTGGTCATCTTCATTTCACAGTTTTCTCTCAGTTTCCTTCACATTTACTAGTTACAACAACAACAAGATAAGCTGAGATGAGCGATTCTCTTTCCCTTATCATTCTTTAGGTTTCTCAAATTGCAAAGACCTACATACATTCACACGGGAGTACCCCAAAGCAACAAGATCTGCAGTCCCCAACCCCCCCACCTCTGAGGAGGAAGGGGGCACGAACTGGCAGCAGATGAAGCCTGTTCAGTGTCTGGTATGGAGCAGGTTGCTCGGGGCCACACTTGAAGAGCCAGCTGCTGCTTTTCTTTCCAGAGCTCGCTCCATGCCACTTTCTGCTAGGCTTTTCTAAAGTCAGCACTCCCCAGCACCCGACTTTGACCATAATTTTGTTGGAAAGAAACTAGCCAGCATTTTAGGGATTCTGATCACAGAAGGAAAAAAAGAGATAGAGATATTACTGTCAGATTATTTCCATGTCCAGCAAAACTCTAACCAAATGACAACCATTTTAAAAAGGTGCACTGTTAACCTGCCTTGGAACTGCATTTCACGGAGCAATGTGACTCTTGGGCCCCAAGCACTCTGCCGGTGTGGCCAGTGACCTGCGCTTTCGAGAACCCTCATAAGGTTCTTATTCCCGGGGACCTCCATGAACCGAAACTTCACTGGGCTTCAGGCCTGATTTCCTAGCCCCGGACACTTTTCCACCCAACAAAGCCCAACCCATCACCACCGATCTAAGTAACATCATCAAACAAACAAACAAATAGCAAAGATATAAATAAATAATGCTTTCTTCCCCCCGTAAAAGCCCTCCATTAAAGAAATGCTACCTAATGTCTCTATGAGATGCACAATGGGGTATTTCATTCATTCACACCAGGATTTGCACGGAGGCAAAGAATAAATAAGTGACCTGCCCAAATGAGTTGGGCAGGGAGTAGCCACTTTCCATAAAAGAAAGCAGGAATTCTTGATTCCAAACTTGTCGTTCTAAGTTTACATTCTTGCTTTTCCTGGGTGAGGTTAGAGAATATCACACTCATTTTTTTGTTGTTGTTGCTCCTTCCTAGACTGGCCTTGTCATAATATGTTGTCCACAGATGGCGGTACCTTTTCCAGAGAAAAGAAAAAATAGTAACAGGACTAAAGGGGGGTGTGTCCAAAATGAAAAACTTTGACTCGTTACCCTGAGGCCACTACACACTTCGGTCTTTGGTTCTAGTTTGCATGAAGCATAGCAGACCTGCAGACGGAACTGCCGTCTCCCTCTAGTCCAGTGGCGTCCACATGGGAAATCCTGTGGAATTCCATCACAGCCGCTCATGCCCAGGACATTAATGCACAAAAGCCCTGACAAGGGGCATTTTCCCTGGCAGAGCAGAACCCATACAGCAAGACTGGGTCAGCCTGCCCACACCTCCTCCATCTCTCACCCAAGCCCCCGCTCTGTGGATTCTGCGCAGAAGAGTGAACACAGCAGGCCTGAGCTGCTGTCCTTGGGAAGGCTGGCCCCTGGCGGGCATGTGGGAACACGGGTTGGGAAGAGCTCCATGAACCAGCCAGCCTGGCTCACTGCACAAGCCACATGGCTTATGCTGAACACCGACTTCCCTTCTGGCAGTCGGGAGCTTTGCGACGTGCCAGCCCCAGGGAAACCTGAGTCTGGAAGGAGCTTCCTTGGCAGGCTTGTCACACACAGTCACAAACCATGGCTGGAGGAGTCAGACAGCCCGTGGGAGGCCACTGGGAGAGGACTCGGACGGTTGGGCCTGGGCTTCCCCTGGGTCTGCTCTGGCACCTTCCTCTTGCTGCTCTTTCCTGGCGCCCTTGCACTATGATAAATCAGAGCGATGAGTACAACTACATGCTGGGTCCAGGGAGTCCTCTCACCATATACCAAACCCAAACGTAGCCTTGGGGACCCCAACCTTGTTGGTACAGGGAGGCTGAACCAGTAACCCACCCCACAGCCACAGTTCTGCCCCTCACTCCCCCCACCCCCCTTTGGTTAAGTAAGCAGATGCCGTTCTCTGATCCAATGCTCAGAATGCCAAAGGCATGAGTCTCCCTAACAGGCACTCACTTTGTAGTAAATGGTGGGATTTATTTAAATTGCTACACGGAAAGCAGGGTAGTATTTGTTGAAAAAGTCACCCCTCAAAGGAATAAGGACGAAGTAGCGCCCATCTTTTCCGGGTTCCTCTCTGAGCTATATGAACATCCAGCTGCCCAGGAACTGCAGGACCACAGTCAGCACAAACCGAAAGGAATGTGGTTCTGATTTACTCAATGACCACTGGCTAGCCTGCCTTCCTACGACTGCACCACGGCAGGAGTTAGGGTTTTAATACTGGTATGTGCTCCACTTGGACACTGACTGATTAGGGGAGCCCTTTTTCTGAAACCTACATTTGTTAGACAAGCATGGCTCCATAACAGCCCTATTTCCAGCCTGGGCCCCAGGGCTAACACCCCACCCATCAGCCACGGTAGGCGTCGGCTAGTGCCCAGGATGTTCCCGCTGCGGCTCCTCGCCCCGCCTGCCTCTCCAGGCGTGGTACTTCTTGATGCTTTTTCTCCAGGCAAAGCGCCAGATGCTTAACATGAAACCCCAGGACACAGCGTACATGGCTATGCCCCCCGCCTTCATAAACCACCTGGGTTTGGGTGAGACCATTTCGCAGAAAAGGAGGCGAGCTCCTAAGCCGATCCTCACTCCAGTGAACAGGGCCACGAAGAGGAAGTCCGCCACGTCGCCAGTGAAGCTGTGGTAGTGCCCTGTTTCTCGGAGAAACCAGCGCAGCTGCAGCAAGGGGTTGGTAATCTCACTTCCAAAGAGGACTGCGTTGACCTCTGTCCCCGACTCTCCCAGCACCAGGGCCATGGTGATGCCCAGGATGCTTAGGGTGTGGTGTGCCAGCATCAGGGCACCCTCAGACTGGAAGTAGATGCACCAGCCCAAGTCGAAGATGAAGTAGCCCAAGGTGAGACAGAGGATGCGCACTTGCAGAGGTGTGTTGGGTGAGCCTGAAATAGACCAAGACAGAAACAAATTGAGCGGCTGGGGATTGTGCTGCCTCACACAGGGACCCTAGGTTACTGTCTCTCAATCCTTTTTAAAATATTGAAATAAAAAATAATAGTGCCCTGGCTGGTTTGGCTCAGTGGATAGAGCGTCGGCCTGCAGACTGAGTCTGGGGTTTGATTCTGGTCAAGGGCACATGCTTGGGTTGTGGGCTCGATCCCCAGTGGGGGGTGTGCACACGGGTGAGCAGGGACTTGACTCTAGGTCCCGCAGTGTGCCCCTGACTCTGACAGAAGGAAGATTTTCATAATTTTCTTGCATCTCTGACACTTTTTTACTAATTTTCTTTCATCTCTGAAACTTCTATTATAGAGAAAGGGCAAATAGCTATATTAAAATATTTCCTCTAATTCATTCCCTTTTAATGCGCACAAATTTCGTGCACTGGGCCACTAGTGTAATAATTAAAAAGAAAAAGGAAGCTCTATATCCATATACATGGAAAGATGATATCTTTTGAATATACAATCAAGTAAAAATTGCAGGTTACCAATAAGTATGTATAATACTGCCCATTTGTGTCTGTTTTGGGGGGGGGAGGTTGGAAGATGTTGATACTGGCTTCTTGTTTTGTACATTTTTATGGATTACATTATAACAAGCATTTTATCATTAATGGGCACATTTTAAGTGTGTTTTAAAGATAGAGAGTTATGAAAATCAGAAACAATAGGTGACATAACAATGAAGACTCCCAATAGAAATGATAATGGAAATTATTTTCAATATTCTTTTATTTTTTTTTTATTTTTTTTTTTAATATATTTTATTGATTTTTTACAGAGAGGAAGGGAGAGGGACAGAGAGCCAGAAACATCGATGAGAGAGAAACATCGATCAGCTGCCTCCTGCACGCCCCCCCAGTGGGGATGTGCCCGAAACCAAGGCACATGCCCCCGACCGGAATCGAACCCGGGACCCTTGAGTCCGCAGGCCGACGCTCTATCCACTGAGCCAAACCGGTTCGGCTCAATATTCTTTTATATTATAGAAATTCTCTGGGGAAAAAGTCCTATTCTTCTAAGACTACCCCCAAATTATACATCCCTGAGGGAAAAACCCTGTCTCCCACCTACCTGGGTAGGTGAAAGGCCAGGGGCCATCAATGAAGCCAATGTACGCTGAGAGGCCTATCGCGAGGACTCCATGGGCGAGTGTGACCAGCCGGCAGCTCCATTCGTAGCTTCGGTGCTTATTCATGTGGCAGCAAGAAATGTAGAGGGAGAGCCAGCCTCCCAGGCTGCCCAGCACCTGCAGACACAGGGCTAATGCCATCCTCTGATGAAGAGACCGACACCAGAAACACAAAGGATGCACCTAAGAAAACAGCGCTGGGCTCACTTGAGTATAATTGTCATTTCTACAATAGCATAGGACAAAGGTACTGCCTTCATGGAAGCCCTGCTTCCTTATATACACATCCAAGCATCTCCTATTTAAGTGTGGCTGGATTTCTGACTCTATGTTCCTCAAAGATAACATATTGGGCCTGGCAGGCGTGGTTCAGTGGTTGAGCATCAACCTATGAACCAGGAGGTCATGGTTTGATTCCTGGTCGGGGGGCACATGCCTAGGTTGTGGGTTTGATCCCCAGTTGGGGGCATGCAGGAGGCAGCCCATTAATGATTCTCTCTCATCATTGATGTTTCGATCTCTCTCTCTCTCTCCCTCTCCCTTCCTCTCTGAAATCAATAAAAAATATTTTAAAAGATAACATGTTGGCAACTGGTAAAAGCTGTAGACGGAACACCAGGAACTGCGTTGTGAGTTAGTAGACTGTCTACTGTAACACACTGTTACAATCAGTAAATGTCAGTAGTAACCTCCCAGTGATGACTGACCTTGGACAATAACATTGCATAATATCCTATACTAGAGGCCCGGTGCACAAAAATTTGTGCACTCAGGGGGGAGGGGGGATCCCTCAGCCCGGCCTGTGCCCTCTCGCAGTCTGGGACCCCTCAGGGGATGACCACCTGCTGGCTTAGGCCCGCTCCCCGGGGGATTGGGCCTAAAATGGCAATCAGACATCCCTCTGGCAGCCCGGCAGCCCTCGGGGGATGACCACTTGCCAGCGGGGAGCAGGCTTAAGCTAGAGTTGGACATCCTTAGTGCTGCTGAGGAGGCAGGAGAGGCTCCCACCACCACCGCTGTACTGGCAGCCATCAGCCTGGCTTGTGGCTGAGCAGAGCTCTCCCATGTGAGAGCGCCCTGACCACCAGAGGGCAGCTCCTGCATTGAGTGTCTGCCCTCTGGTGGTCAGTGTGTGTCATAGTGACCAGTCATTCCCAGTCTTTCTGCTGTTAGGGTCAGTTTGCATATTACCCTTTTACTATATAGGATAGAGGCCTGGTGCACGGGTGGGGGCCAGCTGGTTTGCCCTGAAGGGTGTCCCGGATCAGGGTGGGGGTCCCGCTAGGGTGCCTGGCCAGCCTGGATGAGGGGATGATGGCTGTTTGCAGCTGGTCACACCCCCTTCAGGGTGGGGGTCCCCACTGGGGTGCCTGGCCAGTCTGGGTGAGGGGCTGAAGGCTGTTTTCAGGCTGGTGGGTGACTGAAGCTCCCAACCTCTCCTTTTTTTCTTTTTTTTTTATTCTGGGATTTATTTACCTTCTATGGCTGTCACTGGAACTGAGAGCCGGCTTTAGCTCTGAGGCTCGGCTCCAGCTCTGAGGCCTCGGCTGCTGAAAGCAGGTATCTGGGTTTGTTTGGCTTCTATAACTGAAACACTGTTGCAACTCCAGCTCTGAGGCCCGGCTGGCTGAAAGCAGGTTTCTGGGGTTTGTTTAGCTTCTATAATTGCAACATTGTTTCTTAGAGTGCAGCTCAGAGGCTGGCAGCGGCAGGCGGGGAACCTTGGCTTCCTCCATCACTGGAGCAAGCAAGCCTCCTGTTCGCTTCAGCTGCCTGGCTGCTGGCCGCCATCTTGGTTGGCAGTTAATTTGCATATCGCCCTGATTAGCCAATGGGAAGCGTGTCGGAGGTACGGTTAATTATCATGTTTGTCTATTATTAGATAGGATAATAAAAGCCCAGTGACCAAACAGTGGAACGACCAGAATGACCGGTTGACCAGTCGCTATGATGCACACTGACCACCAGGGAGCAGATGTTCAAGGCAGGAGCTGCCCCCTGGTGGTCAGTGCGCTACCACTGTGGGAGCGCTGCTTGGCTGACCAGGATGAGCGGCTGCTCCCTCTGTGAACCCTGGGCCGACGGGCAGGAACCTGCGCTGCGGACGTTGCTTCCTCACCCCAGGCTTCTCCTTCTCACTCCCTGCCGCCTCCTCTGGACGCCTGCAGGCCGTGCAGCGCTGCTGCTGCTGGGCTCATAGAGCTGACCCAGGAGGCTGGGAGGTGGGTTCGTGGCCGCCTCTCAGTGCTATTGTCCCTGGGCCCAGCCCTGACCTGGTCCCCTGCAGAGGCGAGTGCTCCAGCTCCCAGAAAATGCCAGACCAGGGTCCACAGCCGCTCAGCTGACTGCTCAGTGCTCCCACAGCAGGCTGATCCCCACAGGCCATGGCCCCACCAGTGCACAAATCCTGTGCACCAGGCCTCTAGTATGTAATATAAGACATGTATTAGAAAATGTGTTCACATCTCAAAAATCCCAATAAGAAGCTCTTATGGAAACACACCCCCACCACTTATGGTCTCTACAAGAGCTCACAGGACACATGGCAGTTTAAAGTGGTTTTACGCTGATACTAAACTCAACTGAAATGTGGATGTGGGTTACAAGTTTATCAGTACAAATGGAAACCTGAGGTAACCCTAAATAAAGGACTAAACAGAGTGCAGGTATTTTGGTGAGGGGGAAAAAGTTCTAGGTCTATTCCGTTCTGAAATCCAATCAAAGAGGGAAGCAAGGTTTTGAGGTACAATTGGGAAGTTTTTGTGGAGATATAAAAATATCTTTAAAAATATATATCTTGCCGAAACCGGTTTGGCTCAGTGGATAGAGCGCTGGCCTGCGAACTGAAAGGTCCCAGGTTCGATTCCGGTCAAGGGCATATACTTGGGTTGCGGGCACATCCCCAGTGGGAGATGTGCAGGAGGCGGCTGATTGATGTTTCTCTCACATCGATGTTTCTAACTCTCTACCTCTCTCCCTTCCTCTCTGTAAAGAATCAATAAAATATATTTTTTAAAAATTAAATAAAAAAATAAAAATATATATCTTTACGACAATCCTATATAAGAGAAACATGCAAATTAACTGTCCCTCCGCCACGCTCACCAGCCAATCAGAGTGAGTATGCAAATTAACCTGACAAAGATGGAGGGCTAATTTGCACACACAGGCACTGGGCAGCCGGGGATGGGGCAGGTACTTCCCCCACGTTGCCATGGCGATGCGGGGGAAGTTTCAGCCCCACGGCCGCTGGCGCGTGCATGGGCACCAGGGAGACTGGGGCAGGGTGGTGCGCATGGATGCCAGGGAGCCTAGGTAAGGGTAGGAGCTTCCCCTGTGTCACCATGGTGATGTGGGGGAAGCTCCTGCCCCGCGGTCACTTGCACATGTGTGGGCACCGGGGAGCCGGGGGGGGGGGGAGGGGCGGAAGCCGGAGAGGAGGCCTGGAGCTTCCCCCGAGTCACCATGGTGACATGGGGGAAGCTCCCACCCCACTGGAGTGCGTGCACTGGCCCGCTACGCCCACCAGCCAATC